CAGTAGAAACCCTCACGGAGTCTCTAATGAACTTCCCTGGTAGACAACACTTTACACATGTTGTTACAACTCATTGCTGGGGGAGTCAGTGGGTCTGTGCCTTTACTGGAGAGCACTCTGAGAAGCTAGTGCCTGGTTTCCTCTGGGTCTTGTCCCACACATGTACCTTTTCCATCGGCTGACTTTGCTTTGTATCTTTTTGCTGTAATAAATCATAGCCATGACTATATGCTGAGTCCTGTGAGTCCTCATAGCAAACCACCGAACCTGGGAGAGGGCTGGTGGAGCCCTAGCACAAGTAAGAAATGCAAATATTATGTCATTAATATAGGTCTGTCCCTAATCGTTAATACAATTGAAACAAAGCTGGACACTATTTCATGTATTTAAGGTTTTATGTGAGTGGAACGTTATGCTACACATAATGATGCATTCTAAGGAGATGTTAGGAACCTGAATGAGTGACCTAGGCTTCCTAGAGGGGTGGGCTATTTGAGTAAATAGGGAAATGAGGTAGTGGAGCCCAGTGTTTGAGAGTTCAGACTCTGGAGGCATGGCTGAGTCCAAATCTTGGCTTTAGTGGCTACTAGCAAGTCATTAATCAATATGAGCTTTAAATTTTCACATTAGAAGGTGTCATAATAACAATAATGGCTAATATATTATTAAGTGCTTACCACATCCTAGTCACTTCATGTATTAACTCACTTAACTCCCACATCGATCCTATTAGATATTATTTTAATCCTTATTTTACAAATTTAGAAACTGAGGCCCAGAAAGGGGTCTTGCTAGTACCCACCACATAGAGTACTGGGAAGCTTATATGAGCTAATCCATGTAATGCTGTTGGGTAGTACCTGGAGCATCAGAAGCATCCACTAAATATTAAGTATTATATTTCAAAACATAACAAAAAGGAGAGGAAGGGAAGAAGTTGGGAACAGGGCCCCTGCATGAACAAAGCACAGGAATGTACCATAGCAGAAGCCTTCTATGAGTAATGGGGAGACTAATGGGTGAAGAACTTTGATTGAATACTCTGTGTGCCAAGCATTGGGCTAGGCACTTCAGCCCCCCGCATACAGGCAGGGATGTCTGATTAATGAGGAGTAGAAATGTGACCTGGGAACAGAGTTTAGAGGGTATTGACCATTATTTTTGCATTTACTACCTAGGTCTGTGATTCTCAAATTGACATATGACAGAGACCCTAATTTTTGCAGGCAATATGAAATAACTATACATATATTAGCTGATGATCAGGATAAGAGTTTAAGAAAAAAATTAAGAAAAAAGTATTTAAAATATTAAATTTTAAATGCTTATTTTAAGAAATGAACAGTTTCTTTTTTGTAAATGAGTAAAACACCATACGTGTTTGATTTTTACTAGCTTCAGAGCTACTGCATTAAACAATGGGGAAAGATGCATAGTTGGGAAGCTTTATCTGGTTTGGAGCACAGAATTTGGCCTGAAGTGGAGGAAAGAGAATGGTTAAAAACTAATTTGATCTATTACTGGTTTGGCTCAGTGGATAGAGTGTCGGCCTGGGACAAAAGAGTCCTGGGTTTGATTCTGGTCAAGGGCACATACCTCAGTTGTAGGCTCTATCCCTGGCCCTGGTTGGGGCACATGCTGGAGGCAACCAAGTGATGTCTCTCTCACATCAATGTTTCTCTCTGTCTCCCCCCCCCCCCTCCTTTCTACTCTCTCTAAAAATCAATGGAAAAATATCCTCAAGTGAGGATTTAAAAAAAACCCACAAAACTAATTTGAGCATAAAGAAATGTAAGTCTGACTCAAGGTGAGTTCATGGAAAATGAAAGGAAATGGATGTGCACAGGCTCAATGATGAAGGAAGAATGGATGGTATTTGTAGTCCATAAATATCTGGGTTCAAGTCTTCACCAATTATATGCATCTGACTTATCTGAAGCTCAGTTTCCTCATGGGTAAATGGAATGTATAACAATTACATTAGTGGGGCTGCTATGAAGACTGGGTCAAGTGAGAGAGTGAATTTCTATTGTGCTTGATACAAAAGTTATCTACACTAATAAAAGATGCAACTTAACCATCACTCCATCACTCCGCTACACCTACCAGCCAATCAGAGCAACTATGCAAATTAACCCAACAAAGATGGCGGTTAATTTGCACACGCAGGCTCGGAGCGAAGACTGCAGATGACTGAAGATAGCAGCGGCCACAGAGCTGGAGCAAGCAGGAGGCTTGGGTTGCCCCCGCTGACTGAGGAAGCCAAGCTTCCCACCGGCCCTGTACTCTGCTCAAGGAGTGGCTGGGGGCCTGGATCCCCAGGGGTGAACCAGGCCTCCAGACCACCTTGGGCTCCACTCAAGGAGGGTTGGGGGCCTGGGCTTTGCTCAAGGAGCGACTGGGGGCCTGGGTCTCAGGGGGCCTGGGTCTTTGCCCTGGGCTCCACTGGAGGAGCTGGAAAAAGAAATAAAAGGAGAGGCCAGAGCAGAGAAGCCAAGCCTTGCTGCAATGGCCAGACCAAAGGCCTGGGTCCCAGAGGAAAACCAGTGCGGGTAGCCAGGGGAAGGAAGGCCTATTGCGTGAATCTTCATGCAATGGGCCTCAAGTCCTAACTAATAAAGAGGGAATATGCAAATTGACCATCACTCCATCACAAAGATGGCGGTGCCCATAGCTACAAGATGGTGCCACCCAGTCCCCTCAGCCCCCCAGGGGAGCAGCAGGCAGGTGGTGCAGCCAGGCCCACCCTCAGGAGTCCTCCAGTCCTTTCAGTCCTGCCTGCAGTGAGCCAGCAAGTGGCTCTGCAGAGAGAAGACAGCAGGGCCTGCTTGCAGGTCACTACAATGACCAGGCTAGCCAGCAAGCGGGCCTGCAGAGAGCAGACAGCAGGGCCTGCTTGCGGGTCACCACGGCAACCCAGCGAGCAGGCAAGTGGGTCCTGCAGAGAGCAGAGAACCACGGGGAGTGGGCCTAAGCTATCAGTAGGACATCCCCTGAGGGCTCCCAGATTGGAGAGGGTTCAGGTTGGGCTGAGAGAAGCCCCCCCATGCATGAATTTTGTGCACTGGGCCTCTAGTCTAAATATATAAAACCCTAGTATGCAAATAGACAGAATGGCGGGACAACCAAACAACCAATTGCTATGATGTGTGCTGACCACCAGGGGGTGCATGCAGAACATGGTGGGTGTTGGCAGCAGGCAGCAGAGTGTGGAACATGGTGGCCTTCGGCAGCAGCCGGATGGTGGAGCAGGTGAGCAGGGGCGCCAGACTAAGGTGGGGCACCAGTCACTGTCATCGGAGCAAGTCTCTGGCGGTTACTGAAAATTCTTTGCTCCCGCATGCCACAGTCCCACCCAACACTTGCACCTGCTGCTGGTGCTGGCTCTGATCACTCAGCACTGTCAGCAGGTGCAAGTGGTGGCTGCCAGCCCCAATTGCCTCTGTAGGCTTCTCCATGCCCCTGAGGGGTGATCAGGGCAGCAGCCGCCACTTGCATCTGTTGCTGGCGCTGGCCCCAATCGCTCTGCTCCAATCTCTCTGCTCTGTCAATGGGTGTGAGAGCGGCTGGTGCCATCAGCGCATGGGAGTGGCAGCAGTGGGAGTGGGGCTGCTGGCAAAGAGGGGATCAGGGCCCGTGGTGGAAGGAGCCGAACAGGGGCTGTAGTGGGAGGAGCCTTGCGGCCCACAGTTCCTTTCAAGGTGCACGAATTCGTACACTGGGCCCCTAGTTCTCATTATAAATGATGCTTGTCTGAATGTTGGGAAGAGTCAAAGATGGCCACAGAATTTGATTCCAGGTGCCTGGGACACCGATGGCTCCAAGGGAAAGCAACAAGAAAGAGGGAAGATGAAACCAATCTTGAGAGAAGATGATTGGCTTAATTTTAGGCACATTGAATGAGAGCAAATTTTATAAGTTTGCTATGCTGAAAAAGAGAGCTTTTAATGAGTATGGAAAAGTAAAATTATAATCTTAGAGTGAGATATATATTATCATTTTCCTGTTTGTGGCATTGTGAATGGCCTTCATTATTAATTTAAATTATAGTGTATAAAAATATTTTCAAAGAAATATAGGCCGAAACCAGTTTGGCTCAGTGGATAGAGCATCGGCCTGCGGACTGAAAGGTCCCAGGTTCGATTCCGGTCAAGGGCATGTACCTGGGTTGCGGGCACATCCCCAGTAGGAGATGTGCAGGAGGCAGCTGATCGATGTTTCTCTCTCATCGATGTTTCTAACTCTCTATCTCTCTCCCTTTCTCTCTGTAAAAAATCAATAAAATATATTTAAAAAAAAAAAGAAGTATAGATTTAGGGCAAAAAAGTGAAAGGAATCCTAGAGCCTAGAACAAATTGCACACAATTTGTGATATAAGGGATTTTATATGATAAACTGTGATTATTGTGTGACTGCTCAGCCCTACAGCAATTATATAAATTAAAACATACCATGCATGGGTGGAAATAAACTCTTTTGCATGGCTTTCTGTGAATGGTCAGATCATTCATGTCCAAACTGAGAGTACCATTTGGAATCAGTTAGTCTTAGCTTTGAATTCCTGCCCTGTGTGCAAATTTGGACAAATTTCTTAACCTTGCTGAGCCTCAATTTCCTAATATGTAAAAAGAGATGGAAATAAGACCTCTTTTATAGGGCTCCTGTGAGAATTAAGTGAGATTATATTTGGCAGTCACACATAATTGATAATCAAAAAATATAAGTTCTCTATCCCTTTGTCCACTGTGTAATGAGATTGAAGCTATTAGCTGCAGAAGAAAGTTACAGATATAATTTGAAAAGTTTTAGAACCATATTTATATTCGGGCTTTTGCCTTAATCAATGAAAGGTGATATACAAAATATATTCTAGCAAAGTCTTCACTGGGTGACTAAGTTCAGAATAGAAATATTAACAAAAACCACGTTGCATTAAATATTAGTAAAGCATATACCAGATTGTATCTATAAAATCATTATTTTAAATCTTGATGCTTTATAATTCCCCTTTTCAATAGGTATTATATGAGAAACCTTCCAATAAAAAGCCATTTAATATGGAGTTGGAAATTCATGGATTTGATTGATATCTCATTACAAAATGCCAGCCTTTTTTAGGGAAATATGATGAAAACACCACTGACCAATGTAGCCAAATCACTTACACTATTGACAACTGATCTCATAAATGGAAACTCATAGCATAGTCTTGCTGACCCTGCAGATCTTATAAGATGCTCCATATGCCACGAGCACTATTGTTGTACCTAGAACTTATCCCTGGCTCTACACCTGGCTATACTCATGTAATATAGGTCTTTCCCTCAGGATCATAAGCTCTGTGATGGTAGGGAACATATTTGTCTATCTCATTGCTATTTTCCTAACATCTAACCCAATGCCTAGCACCTCATAGACACACAATCAATGTTTGTGACAGGATGAAGGCAGGAAGGTTGGAGGGAGGGGCCTAATACAGTACTTGGCAATGCAGTCAACACTTAAAAAAAAGCATGTTTAATGACTGGAGTAAGTCACATTTCCTGTTTTTCTCTTAGTCATGTACTTTGTAGGACAGAATGTATCTTAGGCCTCGAAGAAAAGTCTCAAGCCAAATGCATAAATATTAATGAAAACTACATTCATTATATATAATATTAACTAAAATTTTATGAAGTGCTTACTGTGTGCTAAGTACTTTACATACATTAATTCATTAAACTTTCATAATAACACTATGAGAGAATTTCCATTGGACAGATGGAGAAACTGGGGCTCAATGTGTTTTTATAAGGCTGTTAACGGTGGAAATAGAATTAAAATCCAAGTCTGCCTGACTCTTCACTACTCTTCACACCTCCCTCAGGGCTCATTGGTGTCCATGTCTTCACTCACAGCACAAAGGCAGGGTGGTCGAGTCTCCTGTGGGCAGGCTAAGGGAGGTCACATCTGCCTGAGCACACAGAGACAGCCCTCCTGGGTTCGCGCATCCCATGAATGACAGGTGTTCTTCCAAGTGTCTGGCCACACACAGTTCAGAACCAAGGAGGCCTGTAGGAGAAATGAATGGTCAGGAGCAGCAAGGCAAGTTGTCTTTATAAAAGACCCAAACAAAAACAAATCTGGAAAAGCGAAGAGCCTGAATCCCAAGGGTCAGGCAGATGATGGGAGCAAATACATTGCTGCTAAAAAGGGGACATGGGAGCTCGCTACAGGGGTCTTAGAAAACTTAGCAAAGGCATTGGGTCAGAAAGTGATGGATGGAACACAACAAGAAGGGACCTTCTTCCCAAGGCATGATTCTTTGTTCGCCCCCAATCCCACCCCTACATTCACATACCCTTTCTCCTCTCTCTCTCCCCCTTCCCCACACATGCTTGTGTATATGCACACGCATACACATACTGATGCTGCTACAACGTTCTTACAGGCTCCAGGTTGTTGGCTTCTGCTCTTCATACAAACATGTTTGGAAAGCAAGGTTAAAATGTCTGCATCTAAGATTGAACTGACAGTGCTACGTCTCTGTCTCCTTCATCTTAAGGCAAGAATGTGTATTCCATTTCTTTTTTTATCCCCCTCACAGCACCTATTACTAGATACCATATGCTCTGCATGTACTTGGCACTCAATAAATGCTTTCTGAATGGCTGACTTTTCTTGTCTCCCCCACCCTTTCCTTCCCACCCCTACAGCATTACTTTAAAGATCTGCTGCAGAGCTATGGGAGAGGTTTAAGATCCGTTTTGACAAATAACCCTTATGGGTGTTTAAAGCCAAAAGATCGAATATTTAAAGCAGAAATATGAGCTGTGACTTCATGGGTGTTCTGTGAAGAGATGCATAAAGCTGTACAAATAGATAGCATTTCAGACAGGACATAACAGACCCAGCTTTGTGCATTTGCAAATATACAGAGAAGAGCCCGAACTTCACTTTGAACCCTATGTTTCCTTCTGAAACCAGTTTAAATAAGAGTGAAAGTAGATAAATCTTCTATATTTTTTAAAGATCTTACAAATACTTTTGGCTTTTAAAGCCTATGCCATTGATTCATAATATTAAGCCTATCCTCCCTCACTCCTTCCTCCATCCCCACAGACAGGAAAATATAAGCAGAAACAAGACTGGATTCCACAGGAATTGTTGGGGCGAATTGATTGCTGTCAAAAGGGGCTTTAAACTCTCAGACATGAGCTCTTGGTGCTGGGAAGTCTTAGAGGACTAGAGTAAGCATCTAGAGCAGCGGTTCTCAACCTGTGGGTCTCGAACAATGAAAAATACATCCTACATATCAGATATTTACATTATGATTCATAACAGTAGCAAAATTACAGTTATGAAGTAGCAACGAAAATAATTTTATGGTTGGGGTTCACCACAACATGAACTGTATTAAAGGGTCGTGGCATGATGGTTGAAGAACCATAGCAGAATCGAATCACACAGTGCCTCTGGTGAATGATGATAAAGAGCTTAGAATATAAGGCCCAAGAGAGAAATTAGCATGAACTGAGCAGGTCTATCGCCCCACAGGGTCTGTTTTCTCCAAAGGATGTGCAGGGTTCCCTGGCTGCCTAGGCCCTAGGCTAATATAAGGCAGAAACAAGAGTGCATCCTGCCTCTTCTCTGGCTCCAGCTCTGACTGTCTCGTTTGCTCTTGAAGCAGCTGATATGGAGAAACAATGACTGTCGGAGCTCTTAGCTCGTAAGTCTATGTTCTAGAGGTGCTTCCAGCAAGTGGAAGCTGCTTGACGTATATTATTTTTTGTTTAAACTTAGGTAGAACTAATTTCCACGGAGCTATGGTTGTCCAGGGGTTGAAGAGGTTATGTGGAGCTAAGGGTTTGTAAGGCAGTTGGACTTAAATGTACTTTACTACCTAGCTATAGAAATTAAATTGACCTTAAGAACTCTGGGTTACATTACTAATTTTTACATTGCTAAGATCAGAAGTGTGCTCTCTTTCCATTTCATCCTTTGTTCTCATTTCCTGTAAATTTAAAGTAGATCAATATCCTTGGGTTCTATAGAAATTATATTTGTGCAAGGTGATTGGCCAGATAATAGACATTTGGATAAACAAAATATCTTAGTTTTCTTGATAATGTTTTATAATGTACAAAGAATCTTCTCATTTCTCATTTATGTAATGCTCAAAAAAATCTATAGGGTAGGAATTATTATTATTGTCTTTTTACAGATGAGGAAATGGAAGCTCAGAGAATTTTATTTAGTGTATTAATTCATTCAATTAGTATAATTTTAGACCCAATTATATGCTAGGCACTGGAAATACAAAGATAGAAAAAACCTAATCATGACCTAAAGGAGTTCACCATCTATTATGTATAACAAATAAGTAAATAAAATAATGATAGTGGCGCCTTTGCCAGCGTTGCTAAATGGTTAGAGCCCACATACCGAAGGGTCACAGGTTAGATTCCCAGTTAAGGGGATGTACCTGGGTTGCAGGTTTGATCCCGGCCCAGGTTGGAGTATGTACGGTGAGTAACCAATCAATGTGTCTCTCTCACATGGATGTTTCTCTTTCTCTCTCTTTCCTTCCCAACTTCCCTTCCACTCTCTCTGAAAATGGAAAAAAAAAATATCCTTGGGTGAAGATTAACAAAATAAGACCCACAAAATAATTATTGTGGCATTTAATAAGTACTACATTAGGCAGAGGTACTACTATATAGAGTGATGGCAAAAGGAAAGAATTACCAGATTTAGTTAGCTGTGAATGAGTAGCCTTTTCAAAGGAGGAGGCCTTTGAAGTGTGTCATAATAAGATGAAATTTGCCCATAAGATGAAGCATAAAGCAGAGGAGCAGCAAGTGGCAAGGCAAAGAAACAAAGAATTATATGATGAGTTCAAGAACAGCAAACAGTTCAGCCTGGTTGTGACTACAGAAGGCAGAAAAATGAGATTGGGAATACGTTACCAGTGGGGAACAAATAAATTGTGGACTGGTACGGTGAGTGAGTGAAATGAAGTCTTCAGAAACTCAGGTTCATTTGACTTGTTTCACTACACTTGGCTTCCATATCTAAGGTTCCTTCCTAGTTCAAAATAATTACTCCAGATTTAGCCATTGCTTCTATTCTGAACAGCAGAAAGGGGGAAAAGAAAAATAAAAGGAACAAAGGCCCGAGCCAACTGTCTTTTAAGAGACTCTCTTAGAAGCTGCCATGGGACACTTCTGCCTACAACTCATTAGTCAGAACTAGTCACATGGCCACATCTACTGCTAAAGACTGTTCATAGATTCTATTATGGTGACTAATGTGCTCAGTTAAGATTTTGTGGTGCTATTACCATATTAAGGAAAAAAGAGAGAATGGAATTTGGAAGACAACTGGGAGTATCTGCCATTGAGTGGAACGAGAAAGCTGATCATAGATTATTATAAAATGGGAACTTTGCTTTCTGGATAACAGGATGTCATTGAAGGGTTTTGATTAAGTACTTTAGATGACCATATTTTTATATGTGATTAAGACAGATGATATGCTGGAGAGGGTGAGATTGGAGACAGAGGAACCAGTTGGAGATCACTATGGTGGTCCAGATGAAAGACAATGGAAGCCTGATCTAAGTAGTAGTAGAGATAGAGAAAAAATAATGAAGAGGGGAAACATTAAGGGAGTTATCTGTCATGATATTTGAGTAGTAAGGGGCAGGAGTCAAACTCCAACCTTCAACTCCAAGACCATGTACATGGAATCCATCTCTCTTAAACAACATGATGGCAACCGGATTTCAAACTCCCATCAGCCCTTCAAGTCATGTTGTGAAAATCAGATAATATGGTCTAGATCCAGGGACTGAAGAGCCTCAAAGCAAGAACACATTTGTGGCAGGATAGTATTTTGAGATATTTTCCATTTTCTCTCCTGCATTCAAGCAGATAAAAGATTCTGGGCTGGGCTTCTTAGCTTATGGGAAGTCTGCAATAGGACTTCTGAGGTTTGATTTCTAAGTCTCAGCACATGCAAGAGAGAGTTTAAAGAGGGAGAGACTTCAGTCAGAGTAGGAAGACATTTTTGGACTCCGGAGCAGATTGGCTTTCCTCTCCTGGCACCAACTGGAGGACATGGAAGGAGATGAGGGGAAAAGTCCATGAGGGGCAAAGTCCGTGAGGGGCACCAGGAAGGCTGGATCTAAGGTCTACTGTCACCAAAGATTTATCTGCCCTCAGCATGATGCTGGAAGACCAACCTGGTGGGACAATGTGAGCTGGAAATAATCTACAACCCCAAAGGATATTTCAGAAAACTTAGCACCATATGAAATCATGGCAAAGCCTACTCGGTCATTAAATTACTTTCTAAAAAAGAGAGCTAGAGCTTACAATTAATTGATGTATAGAAATGCAAAGTTCACTGAAATACTGAAAACAAAGTTGAAAACATAAGAGAAATAAAGAAAAAGACTGGGATTCATCCCTGCAGCTCTGCTCTACAGAGGAACTCTGTGTGGCAACAAGGCTTTCTATAGCCTCAGGGCTGGACAATTCAGAACCAGCTCCAGAACGTAATTTTGTGACTGCCTCTCCTTTACTTAATTCTGATTCTGTATAGAAACAAATTCAGACTGATTTTATGTCTATCTGTATCCATTATTTACTTGTAAATGTTCCAAATAACTCAGATTCCCCTTCAGAAGACATTCTAGCATCACTTAGCTGGATATTTCAGAACAAATGCACTTCTTATTTGGAAATATCCAGATATTATTCTAGTTAGAATCTATTTTTTTTTCATTATTACAAATGCTCAAATCAGGATATCTGTATACAGTATTTATCCAAACATCCTTTATTTATATAATATTGACAGCATATACAACCAGTATAATTTGCAAAATCAGTATGATTCTTCTATTTAAAGCAGTATTCCCTGAGTGTGATCTGAGCTTGAAAAACAAGTGTATTATATTTTATTTCTGGGGACAACATATCATGCTTTAAATATGGCTACAAATCAGAAGTTTTAGAAAGACAAATTTTAGCCCTGGAAAGAAGGAAGTATGTTATATACCATAGAGTTGAAAATAAATGATAATGTTTTAGAATTCTGAGAAAAATCTCTTCTTTCTCTTCTATTTTTCCTACGATAAGCCCCTTTTGTCATATTTACATTCTATTTAATTTTCTCCATGCCTTCAAGTAGTTTTATTTTATCTTTAAAAATATTATAATCTAAAAATACGGCAAGGGGAATTCAACTAAGAAAATAATAATCAGAGCCATTCATGGCTCACGTACCCAGACTAAGCTGTATTTATGGAAGAGTTGTATGTTTTTTTTTCCTAAAAATTTAATGTGTAAATTAAGTTTCAGCAAGGCAAGTCAAATTATTCCCCAGTCATTTGTAGTATGCAATGTTTTATGTGACTTTTTACCCTCTTATTCAATAAAACAATGCGTACTTGTATAGCAGCCAGACGAAGTGGTGATTCACACTCATCTAGGAGATGCCAAGTACTGTACCTCCTTGAGGAAACACACTCACCATGTGTAATGGGAACACTTGGATTTCCTGAAGTGATTCAACATTAAATTGAATTCAACATTGAACTGAGTAGCCATAGATGTTAACAATCACAAGATCAGATGAGTTTCACTTGCCTTTATGCAACTCCCACTCATTTATTACAAGCTAAGAAAGAGATACATTTTCATTCAAGGAAACTGATTAAAGAATTTGATCTGTTTCTTATTAATACAAAATAATCAAGGATTTGGGTGAAAGGGTGGTCAGCGGTGGCTCTGTGATAGAGAACTCCCATTGAGCTCTTCTCTTAAATTATGCAACTTCTAGCTTAAGAGGAACTCTGAGCCAGACTGGCCACTGGCTACATTATCACTGGTTTGACAGTGTAGGTCCTGGTCCCCACTAGAAAAGATGCTTATAAAAATCCATAGTGTGCTAGATAGTAGATCACCAGAAATTATTGCTTTTAAAAGTAGGGAGAGGAGTACAGATTTGATGTGGCAGTATTAGGGAGCCACAGTGGGCATTGAGTGAGGAAACAAGATTTTCATTGAAATGCAAGTTCACTCCCAAATTCATAAGCACAACAGCTTAAAGAAATACAGCTATTTTATCATTTAGGGACAGTAACCAAAAAAAGAGATTCTTGGACTACAAGGGTGAAATTATAAGAGCAGGAATAAGGATGGGGGAGAAGGAAGCAGCTTTAGGCACTATAGTGGGCGTGGCCACTGGAGGGCAAAGATGACTTTGTGTACAGATTGAACTAAGCCAATTAAAAAATAAGGTCATTTGGATTTGTATGCAAGGCAAACCATCACCAGAGAACTTGAGTGTATCATCCACAGCATCTAGGTCCTTCAATCACAGAGTGTTTAAAAGGTTAGAATTTCAATCTAAATTATAAAAATGTTGTAGCAAGGTTCTACATAAACTAAAAATCGGGGAATCGGAACTGAATTGCCAAGAAGAAAGCCTGAAATGTATATCTTGAGGCCAGCCTTCAAAGAGAGTACAATGCAAGAAAGTGGAGGGCCACTTCCAAACTACCCATTAATCACTCTGAGAAAGACTCCTTTTCACCAACAGGCATCCTATATAATAAAAGCATAGTATGCAAATTGTCCCCTTGACCGAGAGTTGTCCAGGAGTTTGACCAGGGGGCAGGGCTGGCTGGGGGAAGGTAGGGAGTACCCGGCCAGCAGCCAGCAGCTTCTACGGACCCTACCAGTGCACAAATTTCATGCACTGGGCCTCTAGTCATATGTATAAAAGTTGGGACTGGAGATGCAGGAAACCTTTTGTTTCCCAAGAATCAAAAGAGATTCACCTTGTTTATGCAGGCTAGCTTTGCTACCAGCAGCTGACCAGACATGCAAAATCCAACTCCTCCTCATATCTAGAGAGTGTGGACTACATTATCAAGTTAGCCAACCAGACTGTTCCATTCCCCTAGCCATCATGATTGGTTTAGAGAAGGACCATTTCACTCCCCAACCTGCTCCCCAATTCCCACTATGGATTAGGGGAGCTATTCTTCCAAAAGTTTGTTGAGCAAACAAGGGAGTTTGTTCCTCTAAGACTGTGACCTATGAGGACAATGTAAGCCTGTAGCTGTGAGAGATCTTGACTAAGAATGAAACTGGCCCCCAGAAAAAAAGAGAGAGAGAGAAAGCGAGATATGAAACCATTGTTTGAACTCCTGGAACCAGCTATGAATGAAGCCAAATTAATCCCAGGACTTCCCAGTTATGTAAACTGATAAATTCCATTTTTGCTTGAGATAATTTGAGTTGCATTTCAGTCTCTTATGACAAAAGTACCCTAATGAGTACAATCTCTTAATAATTCACACCTTTGTGTGAATCACATACTTCCTAATAAATGTCTTTATGGGGAAGCATAAATAAAAGAGCATAGTAGTCAAGAAATTGGAAATAATGCTTTGGCATTATCTATTGAAGAAACCTTAGGCCAGGTATTTATTTTAGCCTCTGAGCTTCCCCTCACTTAAATGAAACAGAAAAGCTTAATCTAGACTCCCTCAAGAAACAAGTATTTTAGAACTGGTAGAGGCATGGAAGATGCATTATTTTAGAAATGATAAAACCATAGTCTACAGAGGTGGTCACTTAATCAATACCATAACCTATTGGCAGCTGTAAGGGGTCAAACCTACCTTCACCCTGACTCCTGTTCTGGTACCCTTTCCATAATACCACTTGACAGAAATTCTGAAGGTGTGCTTGTCTCATTGTTATTCTTTATAACATCTATATATATAAAAGGTTAATATGCTAAGTGTCTGACCATCCGAACAGACACTATGATGCACACTGACCACCAGGGGGCAGACGCTCAGTGCAGGAGCTGCCGTGACTGCACTGGCCATTTACAGAGAAATGGCACCACGGGACCTAGCACCCACAAAGCAACACTTGGCTTCCCCCAAGTAGGACACAGGCCCTGCCACTACCCGAATGACACCCCACCAAATCACAGCCAACACTGCCAAGACCCCATGGCGTAAAATGTGGCCTACAGGCCAGCCCAGCCTGGAAATAGTCACTGTGGCTGTGGTCGCCGGGTAATGACATCACATAGCAACACCTGGCTTCTTCTCTCTAGCAATGACTAGCCTCCTTGCAGTTTCTTCAGCCCAGGAACCCAACTTGCTTTATAGCCAGGTGCAAA